GAAAGTTGCCAAAATTATGTACAGGGCATCATCTTTAAAGCACATCAACTTTAAGTAATAGTATCCTGAAGTAAAGGCAGAAATCTTAAAGTAAATGCCACAATGCAGCCTGGAGGATTTGCCTGAAAAATTTTAGATGCTAGGAATGAGCTCCACTGCTGTTATTCTGACATTTTAAAGCTTTGTTGAAATATAACTCACCATAATATTCATTCTTTTAAAGTGGACAATTCAGTATTTTAAGTACATTCACAAAGTTGTGAAACCATTATCATTAATTTCAGAACATTTTGTCACCCCAAAAAGAAACCCTGTACCCATTAGCAGTCAATTCCCATTTCCCACCCCCCCACTCCCCCCACCCCCCACCCCCCGCTCTTGGCAACCACCAATACTTTCTGTCTCTATGGATTTGCCTATTCTGGAGATTTCATATAAATGGAATCATACAGTATGTGGTATTTTGTGTATGGCTTCTTTCAATCAGCATAATGTTTTCAAAGTTAATCCATGGTCTAGAATGTGTCAGTATTTCATTCCATTTTTTATGGCCAAATAATATTCCATTGTATGCATATACTATTTTTATCTACTCATGACTTGATGGGCATACAGGTTGTTTCCTCATGATTTAATAGATTCAAAAAATCAAACCTCTAATTTTAGGATAATTGTCAACTTCACACGCAGGAGTAAAAAATAATAGAGATCCCAAGTACTCTTTTTTTTTTTAGATTTTATTTATTTGTCAGAGAAAGAGAGAGCACAAGCAGGGGGAGCAGCAGGCAGAGAGAGAAGCAGGCTCCCCGCTGAGCAAGAAGCCTGACATGGGACTCGATCCCAGGACCCTGGGGTCATGACCTGAGCCAAAGGCAGACGCTTAACCGATTGAGCCACCCAGGCATCCCCCAAGTATTCTTCAAACCAGGTTTTCCCAAGGGTAACATCTTGCAAAACTATGGTACAATAATACAAGCAGGAAATTTACACTGAAACGATACACTGATTTTATACAGATTTCAACAGTTTTACATAATATCATTTGTGGTTTAGTTCTATGCAATTTTATCATGTGTAGATTCGTGCAATCACCACCACAATCAAAATACAGAACAATTTCACACCAAAAGGATCCATTGTGCTGCCTTCTTATAACAACATTCAGCTCCCTCCCTACCCTATCCTGAACCCTTATAATCCACCAATCTGTTCTTTACCTCTATAATTATCATTTTAAGAACACTATTTAATTTTGATATAAATTATAATGGAATAAAAATAAATGGAATCATACAGTATGTAATCTTTTCAGATTGGATTTTTCACTCAATATATATCCCTTGAGATCCATCCAAGTAGCTTTATAAATAGTTAATTCCTTATTATTGAAATACCACCTTATTACTGAGTAGTGGTATTCCATTGTATGAATGTACCACAGTTTGTTTAACCATTCACCTGTTGAAGAATATTTGGTTTCCAGTTTGGGGCTATCATGAATAAAAGTGCTGTGAGCAATTGTGTACATGTTTCTGTGTGAACATAGTTTTCATTTATCTGGGATAAATGCCCACCAATGCAATTGGTGGGTTGTGTGATAATGACATGTTTAGTTCTATGAGAAGTTGCCAAAATGTTTTCCAGAGTAGCTATATTAGATTTCCATCAGGATTGTACAAATGATCCACTTTCTCCACATCCTTGTCAGCATTTTCTTCTGGCCTCCATGGTTTCTGATGACAAATCCAATGTCATTCAAGTAATTGCTCTTTCATAGGTAATGTATCTTTACTACTTTAAAGATTTTGTTTTTAATTTTGAGAAGTTTGTAAAATATGTCTTTGCATGGATTTCTTTGGGTTTATCCTGTTTGGAGTTCACTCAGCTTCTTGAATCTATAGGTTTACTATACCTTTGGCCAAATTTGGTAAACTTTCACCTACTATTTCTTTTAACAATTTTTTAGCCATAACCTTTTTCTTCCCTCCTTCTGGAACTCTAATGACAAGAATGCTAGAGCTTTCATTATTGTCCCAGAGGTCCCTGAGGCTACATTCATTTTTTTAAATTTCAGCCTATTTTTCAGTCCATTATCAGATTGGATAATATCTATTGATCTGTCTTTAGCTCACAGACTCATTCCTGTCATTTCCATTCTAATACGAAGGCCATCAGTGGTATTTTTTTCTTTGTAAATTTCAGTGATTGTAGTTTTCCGTTCCAACATTTCTATTTGGTTCTTCCCTATTTCTTTGTTTTGCTGGGACTTACTACTTTTTCATTTGTTTCAGGCATGTTCATCTTTGCTCATCAATGCATTCTTAGGATGGTGTCTTAAAATTTCTCATTAGATAATTCCAACATATATGTCATCTTGAATAGAAGTGGTGGAAGCAGGCATCCTTGTCTTAGAGGAAGAGCTTTTAGTCTTTCACCACTGAGTATGATAGCTCTGGGTTTTCAAATATGCCTTTTATTATGTTGTGGTTTCCTTCTAAGTTTATTGTTGTTTTTTTTTCAAGAAGGGTATTAAATTTTGTTAAATACTTTTTCTGCTTCAGTTGAGATGACTATGGTGTTTGATCCCTTTATTCTGTTAATGTATAGCATAGATTGGTTTCGTATGTTGAACCATTTTTGCATCCCAGCAATCAATCCCCCTTGGTCATGGTGTATAATCCTTTTAATGCATTGTTGAATGTGGTTTGCTAATAGGTTGTTGAGAATGTTTGCATCTGTAGTCACCAGAGAAACTGGTCTGTAGATTTTTCTCGTAGTGTCCTTATCTCACTTTGGTATCAAAGTAATACTGGTCTCCTAAGAAGTGTTCCCTCTTCAATTTTTTAGAAGAGCTTGAGAAGGACTGATGTTAGTTCCTTAAATGGTATAATTCACCAGTGAAGCCATCTGGTCTTGGGCTAAAAGACTGATATTTAAAATTGCATTCCCCCCACCCCCACCACAGTTACTAGCTATCATTTTACTGTGAAGAAGGCTTTCCCTCCATCAACTGCGTGCCAATTATAGTTCTTCCTCAAAATGGGTTGGTATAACAGTAACCTCCAATATGTGGAGGTTTTTAAAAATTTATTCCATGTTTTTCACAATTACTCTTCATAGTTTTTTATTCAAACTGTCCCCAAATTGGCCAGTGAGAATCCTTCCAAACTGACTCCTCTGTCCTATTGGAATATGCCCATTAGCCTTTTTTTAAAGATTTATTTATTTGACAGAGAGACACAGCGAGAGAGGGAACACAAGCAGGGGGAGTGGGAGAGGGAGAAGCAGGCTTCCCGCTGAGCAGGGAGCCCGATGCGGGGTTCGATCCCAGGACCCTGGGATCATGACCTGAGCCAAAGGCAGACACTTGACTGAGCCACCCAGGTGCCCCCCATTAGCCTTAATTTATTTCTTGCTTTCGGACCAAAGATTTATTTTCCTTATTTTTTAACGTATCTGGAGTCAGCCTTTTATCCATGGAGCATGCTGGAGAAAGGGTGAGTGAAGCTCCTCCCCACCCCCCAACTGGCCAAGATGCAGCGCTCAGCCAGCTAACCATCAGTTGCACCATCATGTCCTGGTCCAACGCCCCAAGCATGCACACCCAGCTCGGACCATTCCTGAGTGCCCAGGCCCTGGTAGAGTGGTCATAGGGTGGGAGGGGTAAGACCAAGAGCTCGTCCTTGGAGGGTGGTGAGAAGCGAGATTATGAATGAGCTAAGGCTCTAAGCCCCACTGTGCATGCTCCATTGTCCCATCAGACTTGACTTAAAAACACAAATTCAATGATAAAATAGAATCTCCAAGATGGCAGGGAGCCTGGGTGGCTCAGTTGGTTAAGCATCTGCCTTTGGCTCAGGTCATGATCTCAGGCTCCTGGGATCAAGCTCTACATCAAGCTTCCTCCCCAGGGGGTGTCTGCTTCTCCCTCTCCCTCTGCCCCTCCCCTTGCTCGTGCTCTCTCTCAAATAAATAATCTAAAAAAAAAAAAAAAAAATTCCAAGAATGCAGAGATAGAACATTAAAGCCCAAGTGCAGGGAACTTCTGAGCATAGGCCCTATGTATGTCTATTTTTTGTTTCTCAATTTTATATTTTTTCCATCTAAATCCTAAAAGCTCTTGCTACTTGATTTATAGGTTTCTGTATCGAATAAGTTTTCCCATTGTATTTGCTAACTGGCTAGTAATGAAATACAGAAAAGTCATTTTGTAGTTATTTTTGATGGCTATGCCTAGCATTTTCTATCTTACCATTTTAGTGAAATTTAATGTTTCAATATCAGTTCTCTTGGGTTTTCTACATAGAAGAATCAACTATAAATAATGGCTATCACTTGAACACTTAGCATTGCTAGGTACTGTTGCAAGTCATTTAATCCTCACAAGCCCTTAAAATAGGCACAATGATTATCCCCAATTCACAGATTAGGGATGTGAAAAATGAGAGACTTGCCCAAGGCCAAAGAGGTATTACCTAAATGGCAGCCAAACTCAAAACCAACACCAAGCCTCCTAGCTCAAGTTCACGTCCTCTATCATGAGGCTAGAACTTTTTTTTTTTTTAAGATTTTATTTTAGAGAGACAGACACAGCGAGAGAGGGAACACAAGCAGGGGGAGTGGGGGAGGGAGAAGCAGGCTTCCCGCGGAGCAGGGAGCCCGATGCGGGGCTGGATCCCAGGACCGTGGGACTATGACCTGAGCCAAAGGCAGACGCTTAATGACTGAGCCACCCAGGTGCCCCGAGGCTAGAACATTTCTATATAGATTAGATTAAGCCCCCTTTGCCTGGGTGGATTGCCTGGAAGGATTTCTCTTGTTCTTAATTTTAACTGGAATGTCTCTAATATTTCCTTTTTGGAATTGTAATGGTAATGATGGTTGTGGCCTAAACAGGAAAACTTTGTAACCTAAGAATGTTAGTAATGTAATTTTCCTAAGGAACTAAAAATCAATCTATTTGGAAGAGGGATGGATGATGACACCTTATTAATATGGACTTCTGTTCCAAAGGTTTATTCCAGTTACATTTATAGTACATAAAACAGCAATACATTCTTGTTGAGAAGACAGAAACTGTGGCCATAGTACTGAAGCTGACCTAAGAGAAACATAAGCTTCTACCTCAGGCAAGAGTTCATATCTAAAGAATTCAATTCATATGAGATAAACAAATCAATTCAACAACTTACTCTAACGAGATGTAAGAAATCAAAAGAAGACAGCTTTGTGGGAGGCCGATATGCACATTTTATTTAACAAATATAGTGTACAACGACTAAAAGAACTGTATATTCCCAGGAGAATTAAGAGTGTGTGTACCTGGATTAGCACCTAGAGAGTACATAGAAAAGAACAAAGGAGAAAGGAGACCGTCTTCTACGGAACTCACTTGGGGCCGGGTTTCTAAGTGCAGATTCTCACTGGTATCTGCCAGTAACTCACTGCACTCCACGTGAGCTCGGTGATCAGGGACTCGGGTCACTGCTTCATCACGTCTTCAGTGCTTTATGACAACAGCTGTGTCAACCTGATGGGCTTGAACGTGTAAATTTAAGGATAACAAGTTTTATACTCACCCTAGTTTTATTCCAAAATTATTGCACTCGAAATTTGTGGTACACTATTAGGACGGTATTGGGAAAGCAAAGAAACCTTCCTAACTGCTTGTGACGTGACCTTGTTTCAGAGTGGTGCCCTGTAATTACGCACCGTTTCCCAGGCCCACTGGTAATCTGCAGAAATCACCGACTGGAAGGAGGATCGTACGTGGCCTGCTTAGGTTGCGAAGGGTTCCATGAGCATTAGAACAGGTTCCATAGTACCAGTGACTGCAAAGCTTCAATGACTACCAGTTAACTGGACGGTGCATTTAATGCAGTATTCTTTGGTTACATCACATTAACCACCACGAGGATAACTTCCTCACTTACAAAACAGATCAGGGGCTCTTAACTGGGGGCGGTTTTGCCGCCCCCCCCCCTGGAAATATTTGGCAATGTGTGGAGATCATTCTTCACACCTCTGGGGGCTGCCACTAGTGTCTGGTGGGTAGAGAAGCCAGGACTACTGCTAAACATCCTACAGTGCGCGGGGAAGCCCTGGTAACGGAAGCCCCTCAGGCTGCAGTGTCGGGAGTACTGAGGCTGAGAAGCCCTGGCAGAGGTTCACAGGACACGTGTCCGGGGTGTCCATCAAGTCGGAAGTTCGCCCAGAGGCAGAAGGGCACCTGCGCACGTCGGAGCTCGGAGGGATCCCCCATCGGCTCCCCCCAGTGGAGTCCTGGTCTTTCCTATCTTCTGATCCAGACCCAGGACCAGCTCCTTTACAAAGAACTCTGTAAGTATTTCGTGAATGAGTGGAGGAAAAAGGTGCAAGAAGCATGGTTCCAAGTCTTCAAATGACTATCCTCAACTGCAACTTTATGTGACCGAAAAATTATTCTGAAGCTCAATGGTGTCACGGTCTCTAACTGTACAGAACCCAAGTCAGGGCTAACCGATGGTCAAAAATGGAGTCGAGATTTTAAGGGGACTATGTCTAAACACTTCTAGATTCATTTAAGTGGGGGCAAACCAAATAAAATGGAGTTAAAGGCAAACATTCAATATACTTCATTTTAAACTAAACAAATTAACACATGAAATGCCATGCAACGCAGACACCATTCCTTTTTTGTTTTTACATATTTACAATTTTACATATTTACTTATCAATATATCTTCTATCTTTACAATTATAAAATATTTCAAACTGTAGAACAGTGGTACCACTGAATCCCCTTAAACATACATTTTGTAGCATTCATCTGTTTTATCCTTTAAAGGCAAGTATTTACCCAAAACCAAACCACAGTGAATGCCAAAGAGGAAGCACGCGGGAAAATCATGGAGAAAAAATAGATTTAGACAAAACTTTCACATAAACCTTAAATGAATCTATTTCAGTAACTCAAATAAATAGTATTTTATTATTTACTAAGCTTCCCCTGCCAGGAAAAACAAAACAAACAAAAAACAATCCCCACAAACTGTACCTTGAAAAATGCTCTGACATTTATAAGCAATTAAGTTATAGTCTAGGTCCCAATCATGGACTGTAGTAAGGGCTAGCTACAATTTAGGCTCAAATAAATACTACCCATGTAAATTTTTATCATCCTGCATAAACTTGAGGTTGCAAAGGTGGAGGAAGTTTATCATTTTCAACATTTTCAGAGTCAATAGCTGCTAAAGATTGATTTGGGGCTTTAATTTCAAGCGGGTATTTCTCAACAATGTCTTGAACCTCTTTTGCAATTCCATCCGTCCACTCTATTAGGTCTTTCTCAAGTTTCTTGGCTTCACTCATGATCCTTTCTTGCCGTTCATTCAACTGAGACAGAAGATCCAAGTTCTTATACATTTGCTTAACCCCTAAGCAAGCATCAGGAGACCAATTCTCAGATTCCTGCTTCCTGGGAGAAGTCTGGCCGGACATGTATCGATCAAAATCTTCCTGACTTAAATTCAAAGACTGAGCATCTAATTTCTCAATGAAAGCCACAGCACAGCACTACAAAAAAAAAAAACCAGAATGTTATTTACTATAGTCACATGAGGAAAGCTTCAAATATTCAAATATATATTTTTAAATCCTTTTATTATGGTGAATTTAAAATAGAATCAAAAAGTAGACACAACAGTTGAATGACCCACCATGGACTTCAGCTTCAAAAATTACCAACTCCTAGCCAATCATGTTTCCTTTATACTCCCATCTGAAACAATACATTTCTTCCTTAAAAAAAAAAAAAAAAAAGTCACACTGCCGATTCCCACTGAGTCTGCCAGAAATTCAGTCCTCTCCTTGGGTTGTTCACAGGCGCAGAGTCTCGTACAGAGTGAACGCTAGAGCAGGCACCTTTGGTCTGTTCCACACCGGCTACTACAGAGCTTCCCGTGGACAAACCCGAACGATTTCCCAAACTCCAGGGCTCTCTGCCTCCCGGCCACGTTCAGGGCACAGGAATCACAATCCCATGTGCCTCGGGAACATGCCCCATAAAGCCATTCCCTCTTGAGGCCTAGCCAGTCCCACAGCGTTCACCCAGGGCACGGCAGCTACCAGGCGCATCTTCAGGGATTGCTGTGGCACCCAGACCTCTGGTCCTCAAAGGACCATCGGTCCTTTAACATCAGATGGTTAAAAGAATATAAGCTTTGAAATCAGGCAACCTGAGTTGTCACCTCTGTCACAGGACAGCCTAAGAGTCTGTGAGCCTAGGAAAGTTACCCATGCTCTCTGAGGTTCCGGCATCTGTAAAACGGGAAATACCACCCAGATTTATAGTGAGAACTAAACAATCCAGCACATGTAACGTACTTATAGCTCACAGGTCAGCAGCAAGCAATGAATAAATGGGAGCAATTACTAGTACAGAAATCCTTGGGCAAATGCTCAGTTGAACAGACATCTGTTAGCTCTACTTTCTTATACGGATTTAATTTTTCTATAAGGAAAATTAATTTTCACATTTTTATTATTTATTCATTTTTATTTATTTTTATTTTTTTTTAGATTTTATTATTTGACAGAGAGAGAATGAGAGAGAGAGAGAGAGAGCACATGAGAGGGGGAGGGGCAGAGGGAGAAGCAGGCTCCCCGCCGAGCAGGGAGCCCGATGCGGGACTCGATCCCGGGACTCCAGGATCATGACCTGAGCCGAAGGCAGTTGCTTAACCACCTGAGCCACCCAGGCGCCCTTTATTTTTGTTTTTTAAGTAATCTCCATACCCAACATGGAGCTCGAACCCGTATCCCTGAGATCAAGAGTTGCATGCTCCACTGACAGAGCCAGGCCCTCACATTTTTTTAAAAAGCCATTTTCACAAGACATGCAATATAAACAGAGGAAAACAGGCAGCTCTCGGAACTTCTTCTGAGAAGCTCATTCCCAGGATCCTCCATTATTGCTCATAAAAAAGGGACTCTCTTTAAGGAGTATTCACAAACCTACTGCAAGTGACTCATGTGATGAGAAGGGGCCCATGTGACCCCTCCACACAGGCTCGCACCGTATCTGTGGAAGTGCGCAGCCCCTGCGACCTGGAGAGAGGAGGCATCTATGATTCTAGCACTCCTGGCTTGGATATACGCTATTGCTACAAGTGGAAACAGTCTATGTTAGAAAAGAGAAAACCATCTGAAGTTCCGGGAAGCAGTTTTAGTTTTGAAAAATTAAATTTGAGGGCGCCTGGGTGGCTCAGTTGGTTAAGCGACTGCCTTCGGCTCAGGTCATGATCCTGGAGTCCCGGGATCGAGTCCCGCATCGGGCTCCCTGCTCAGCGGGGAGCCTGCTTCTCCCTCTGACCTTCTCCCCTCTCATGCTGTTTCTCTCTCGCTCGCTCTCTAATACATAAATAAATAAAACCTTTAAAAAAAAAAAAGAAAAAGAAAAATTACATTTGAGGCATAATGAATAGCTGGGAGTGGAGCTCAGTGTGAGGGCAAAACAGGTGACATGAGCTTGTGCATCATCACCGTGCAGGTGACAGTGGAGCTGTGACCAGAGGACACAGCCAAGGGAGAGGAATGCAGAGGACAGAACCCTAGGGAGTAACACAATTCAAGGGGAAGCAGAGGACACAAAGCCTACAAAGAGACAAGGAAGGACTGGCATTGTGGAATTCAAAAAACATAGGAAGTTCCAGAACAAAGGAGTTATCAAGAGTGTTAAAGAAGTAAGATGAAGACCGAGAGTTTTCATGGGATCGAACAACTGGCAGATTTTCACTTTTGCCAGAGCAGTTTCACTGAAGCAGTAGGAGTAGAAGCTAGACTCTGAATCAGACGAGAAGATGGAAAAATAAGGTGCAAACATAGTTAAGGCTGTAGGTCACGGCTCTGGGAAGCTGCAGGAAGAGGCGACCCAGCAGCCTCCATTGCTGACCACAAGGGCTACACCTCTGGGTCCTGCTCATTTCTTCTACTACCAGCCGTGTCTCCATCTCCATACTTCTCAGGGATTTGCAGACTGTCTGATTTCCCTAGATTAAGAACTAAATCCAAAAGGCTCTTCTCTAGCAGTCAAGAGCATGTTTCACTTATGTTAAGAAATGAGTACTTCAGCCACTTAAACGTTTTGGGGGAGTATAATTTAAACAAGCACGTGTCTGGAAGGATGAAAAATACTGCAAATAATGGTGCAAGCATCATTTTGAAAAAAAGCATTCCTGGGATGGGTTAAATGGTGATGGGCATTAAGGAGGGCACTTGTGATGAGCACTGGGTATTGTATGATGATGAATCACTAAATTCTACTCCTGAAACTAATATTACACTGTATGTTAACTAACTGGAATATAAATGAAAACCTGAAAAAAGAGCACTCCGAAGTCGAGCAGCTGAACCCAATGGCTGAGGGTGATGAGTGACAGGGGCAGGTCCAGCTTTTGAGGGACCGGAAGCTTATAGACTTTTGGGAACCCACTTAAAGGAAAACACAATATAAAATTAGGTACAAAGGTGAATATGTATTTAGGATGTAAAAATAAATCACAACAAATTTCTGGAAGCCTTGAAGATTGAAGTACCGTCTTTTTAGACAATTTGCTAGAAACACTACCTTATGTAACCTTGCTTCCTCTCCCTATTACCCTGTACAACTTCCAACACAGGAAAGAAAGCATATACGGTGTTTTGATGCTCAAATTCATTAGTAAATCTAGTCTAAAGCAAACAAACAAAAGTTCAGTGGTCAGTAAAAGGAAGTATTCAGCCTTACTACTTAGACATATATACTTTAATACTGTCTTACCAAGAATCAATTAGCACTGTTAACAATACTTGAAAATCATTTTACATCCTCTAAACCGACCCTTTTAAAATCTCAGTATTCAGTTCTAAGAGATCACTTATAGAAATAAAACAAAAAATAATTCCTAAGTCTTTTAGTAAATCAAAATCCATGATCTGATTCATTCATGGTTAACCCAACTAAGTGAATGGCCCTTTTACCCAGGACCTGGGGGAGTGATGGCCAAGAGCAGCAGAGACTCCTCCATGTGGCTATCAGGTTTTCCGTAAGAGGACCACAATCTCTGGTCAAGCACCGAGAGGTGGGGTGTTCGCATGGCGTGGTCACGTGCGCTATGTGACACCAAGCAAGCATCCTCAGCTATGCTGAGGCATTAAACTGTCACAGGCCTGTGAGTGATCTGTCACATCCCTACAATAAGTACCTTCATGGTTCTTCTCCGTTAACTCCAGGAAATCAAATACTCACCAGATTGGTGAAATAGTAGCCATCCTCCCCAGCCATCAATCGGCTTGGGTTGCAGAAGCGGGTGATATACTGGATGTTGGACTGAAGGCGTGGGGGGTTGCCCTTCAAGACAATGTAGATGAGAGTTGGTAAAAAGTCATCAGCTGAGGCTGGCTCATTCTTGGTGATCTTAATGGCATTGAAGATGTGCTTGCTGCACTTGGTGATGCAGGCCAACTTGTCTCGAGGCACACGCTTTGAATCCATTTCAATGATATCTATAAAGCAGAAAAGACACTGCTTCCAGTGAGAAATAATTACATAAAAGAAGCATTAGAATAATCATTTTTTAATCTGTCAAGTTAAGAGGTACCCTCGCTAACCCCTTCTCCGGCAGGTAATTTATGTATGAACAACTCTGACCACAAAAAAACATAAGCACTAGCTCATCCTTTCAGGAAGCGTGACCACGAGCCAGACACTATGTGCATTATTTCTATGCTCTGCAAGCCTATTTCTTTTTCATTCTCAGATTGTACAATGGGTACTACTATTAGGAAGGGAACTGAGGTTCAGAGAAGTTTGATAATTTGCCCAAAATTATATAGATAGCAAGTGGCAAACGGAGGATTTGAAACGAAGTCTATCTGACTCTAAAACCCATGCTTTCAATTACGATGTTAAACTGCTTATGAGCTCCTTGGAGAAGAGTCTTTTTCTTGCTTCTGTTCCTCTAATACACTGTAAAACTCAGTTTAGAAAGCGTACTGCTTTTTAGAAAGGTGGGTATCATACAAAGCATCATTGTATTGGGTATCAAAATACAGCTGCTGAAATCTATCCCATGTAGGTCTACAGCGGCCAGTCCCCGTGGCATATAAATCCCCACCAACTATAAACATCTACAGAATGCTTTTACTGCATTTATAACCTACTGGTTAGCACAGGGGATAAAGCAAGGATATAAAATTTAATCTCATGAATACCATTCATTTCCCTCAGAAAAAAATTACTTTACTGTCCCTAACTACCACTAAGTGGTAGGCTCTCATAAATGCACACCCTGTGTCACAAAGACTAGGAAGTGGTGAGGAATAGCTGTCAGCATCACTAGAACAATACAAGAGGAAGGAGGGAGAGTGCCCTTGGATGCACATTTCTGCTTATAATCTGGAGCAACATGAAAGAAACAGCTGAGGCAGGTTAATTTGACAGCAATTTCTGGCCAATAGCGGGAGTAAAAGTTTTCAATTGAGGCAGGGTGGTGGTGCACATCGGAGTTCTTTCTGCTCCCAGCTCCCACCCCTGAGGTTGGCTCCCGGGGGAACCCTCACGGGACCACCAGCCATGGAAGAGTAGTGTGCGGGGGACAGTGCGGAGGCCGTATTTTAACTTACTAATGCTTTCATTTTCTGAACTCATATGTCTATTGTGTGCTTTTGCTTATTTTATAGTTTAGTTCCTTTAATCTTTTAATTATGGGTTGTAATTATTGTTAGTATGTCTCAGTCTATTTTCATTTTCTTTTTCTATTTGAGCAGAACAAATTACAAAAGAGATTTGGGGATAAGACTTTTACTGGTTTTTATTCTTTAAACTTTTAGCCACTCTCTCATTAATGTTTATCCTTTAAGGGGCGCCTGGGTGGCTCAGTTGGTTAAGCGGCTGCCTTTGGCTCAGGTCATGATCCCAGAGTCCTGGGATCGAGCCCCACATCGGGCTCCCTGCTCAGCGGAGAGCCTGCTTCTCCCTCTCCCTCTGTCTGCCGCTCTGCCTACTTGTGCTCTCTATCTCTGTTAAATAGATAAATAAGAATCTTAAAAAAAAAAAAAAGTTTATCCTTTAAGTATTAAAGGGAATAAAAAATGAATTACTCTTTATCTGGAAGCATGTGTAGCTGCCAATGCCAGGAGGGAGGGCCAAGAGTGTAAAAAGGAAGAGAAGGGAAGGAAAAAAAAGAATAAAGGGGGGTGGTGGGGGTGATTTCTCCCACACTCTTTGTCCTACAGCGACCCTTAACTTCCTAGCATCCTTTAAGCCTGAAAGAAGTTTTTTGGGGGGAACGCTTTTGAACCCCCCACCACGTGTAGTTAATTCCATGACTTGCACTGCCTGAAAGCCTAAACGAGGAGATCCCGGAGAAAATAACCTAACAGGAAACTCCCCACTGTATTAATTCTTCCAGTAATGATTTCCTGCCCTAGTCTGCCTCCTGCTGTCACTTACTTCTCACAGTCCTCAGCTAACTGCTGTGTGTCTGCCGTCCAGGGCTTTTACGTGTCATCAGTAGGAATGATGGGCTGAGTGTGGGTACTCCCATCTCGGCAGAAGTTTGGTTTTATCTTTAATGAAGTTTTGAAAACAAAGTAAGCTAGCCCTCTAAGTCATGATTTCTCAACGCTGGCACCAAACAATATTTTAGATTGTATCATCTTTTTTGTAGGGAACTGTCCTGTCCTGAAGGATGTTTAACAGCATCCCTAGCCTCCACCTACTAGATGAGAGATGTCAACTGAAATGGAAAATGCCTCATTCAGTGTATTTATCAACAAAACTGACAGTGCTGATTAGTAGCACATGGGATGATTTTGAGAAATTTAACTGATGTCTCCATTTTTAAGACCACTGTTATACACTGTCCTCTCTGGTTGCTCCTGTACTTAGGCTACTAAGGAAGAAAGTGATCATATGACCTTTGGCCCTCACAGAATGTATCTGCACTCGGACTGGCAAGATATGGGGGCTAAGATGAGAAAAAGTAAGAAGGCCTTTATAATTCTGTGGCCAAATTTCTACTATCAAAACATCTCTTCAAACTCCAACTCAGATGATTTGAGAAAAGTTTCACCCCTCAAAATCTATTAACAAACTATTGATATACTCAAGTCCTCTTAGTTCTATTTTTAAGCAAACAATGGTCTGGTTCTTGTAGTTTCTGGTTTTACAAGGTCTATCCTATGGCACTTCAGAAAAGAGTCCCAGACATAAATTTCTATGAAGTACTTTAAACATAAACCAGTTGGTCTTGAACTTGGCAAGAGTCTTCGGAAAAAAACACAAGTACAAGGCCCATATCCAGGCTTCTCACCTTCAATCTCTTATGACGTTCCCTGAGCAAAAGGTGGGAGTGGGAGTGGGCCTTGACCCAAAGGAGTCAATTCATGAAACCTACAACACAGTCTTGCAGAAAAGCTTTGAACAACAAAGATAACAGTATTTAGCTAGGCCAGACTGCAAGTGGAATTACAGAAAATAATTCATTTAATAAAGGAGTTAAAAAGCAAAGATATGCAAAGAGAAGCAGAACCTGAGAGAGTGGAAGAATCATGTTAAGAGCAGATGACCCAGTCCCTAGAGGGGCCGTGAAGCTAAGTTTCTGTGAGTGTCCTGCTTCCTTTCCTACCTTGATAAGCAAACCCTCCTTTCTTCCTGTAACATGAGTCTCTAGTTCTTATAACCAAAGGAGCCTACTTAATGGCTTGCCCCTGGCCACTGCCAACAGCAGCTGACCAACTTTGTTTACCAGCAGAATTTCATTAACGACTCTAAACAGGAAAGTCTTTCCAACTCTTCTTAATTAGGAAGAAGCTGGCCAAGGTTGGGTATCCTCTCCATTAGGAGGAATTTGTTTTGGTTCTGTTTTTTTCTTTGTTTTTAACTTCTGTGGTATACTTCTGCTGAGCTATTCCTATGAATGAGAAACAGAAACCTTATCAGGTGCCCGGACCTGTCCAGGATGGTGGAGCCACATCAGTTCAGGGCACTTCATTTACACCTTAAACAAACCAGAAAAATAATCCAAAGTACATCTCTGATTAACAACCAATTAGAGAGATATTGTTTTAATATGTAACTGTAGCAGGGGATTACCATGCCCCATCAATTCCCTTCCTTCCTCCAAAATTATTTTGAATATATAAATGCAACTGAGTTTTAAGAAATCTGCGCTTGGGGCACCTGGGTGGCTCAGTCGTTAAGCGTCTGCCCTCGGCTCGGGTCATACTCCCAGGGTCCTGGTATGGAGCCCCGCATCGGGCTCCCTGCTCAGCGGGGAGCCTGCTTCTCCCCTCTCCCACTCCCTCTGCTTGTGTTCCCTCTCTTGCTGTCTCTGTCAAATAAATAAAATCTTAAAAAAAAAAAAAGAAAGAAATCTGCCCTAGCTAGAGTGCCTGGGTGGTTCGGTTGGTTAAGCGTCCTACTCTTGACTTCTGGCTCAGGTCATTATCAAGCCCCATGCTGGGTTCTGTGCTGGGCATGGAGCCTGCTTGAGATTCTCTCTCTCCCTCTTTCTGCCCCTCCTCTCCCCCTCCCCCCCTCCCCCCGCCCGAGTCACATACTCTCTCTCTCTCTCTAAAAAAAAAAAAAAAAAAAGGAAAGAAATTTGCCCTAGCTGCATTTGACCTTAGTTCAATACCCAAGAAATAAGAGACCTGGTCACAGAAAGTAAAGGGGAAACGCAGTTCACCTGCTAAAATGAATGCTTCAAATTCATAAAACTAGCCCACTTATAAACTGCTTTTACTGCATTTCAATATGTCTTTGGCAGTCTGCATTTTAGAAATATTTTGCTGTCTCATATGGATTTATGTTAACTTCAAGGGAGAAACATCCAGATAAAAAAGCTCTCCATTTCACTGACCTGTGATTGCTTTCACCACCATATCAGATACTTCTGAAATTTCTTCATTAACAGGGACACAAAGCATCTGAGGTGTAACCCAGTGCAAGGCTCTACAAAGAGGGAGAGACAGTAAAAAAAAATTCCAAGAATGGACCACAGTCATTTGTCTTGTCATTTCCTTCAGTAGAGGAGAAATACGGGGCACCGCTGACTAATGAGGCAATCCTAGGAACCAGCACACTGCCTCTAAACACATTAGGAGCTCAGATGAAGTGACCAAAATCCTAAAATGAGGCTTCTCTTATCACAAGAAAAGCAGAAGACAATTTTACTGGTTGAAATGAGATTATACTGAGGCTGAAAAGACTGAAGATTTGAGAAGAATCTGCTGCTCCCTCTCGTCATTGTCCATCACCATAATGTCCATTTAGGCTCTGCCTTCAACTTCTGAGGCACACTAGAGGCTGTGTAAGAGGACAACAAGCATGTGCCACCCAATCTGAATCCCTGAGTTTCCTGGTCACACCCTATCTTCACAGCAGAGATTCTTGCCTGACGAATGCTCTCACCATGCACATCAGTCCAAAGCCCACCTAGTTCCTTCGGGCTCCATGTGCAACCTTCCTAATACCAACTCCTCGCTTCTGGTGTGACACCATCAAGAAGAGATCTACCATTACCAGCCCCATTGTCGGGGAATCCTGTTTGGATTCCTAGGCCCCCTCTTCCAGAAGCACCTTAGCATGACCAGTCTTGGACCCATTCCCACATTTAGATGGCCTATTTCCTAAAGGTTTTGCTGCCATTGGAATACAGAGCCCTGGGGCTCACTCTACCACCCAGGGAAGATGGAGTGCTTTGGGAAGTGTTATCAACCCAGTGCAAGTGGGAAGATGTGATCAGAGGAACAGCTAAATAATAAGCACCCCTGGTAGGGAGGAGGAATAATGACCCCTACTGCCTTCTATGGATATTCACAGCTTCTTGCCTGACAAGACATTATAATGAAATGAGAAAATAATGAAATTTCCTCCCGTTCCTTGGAAATTTTGGAGATTTGAAACAATCTCAAACATCAGATCTGCTTCTTACCTAAAGCTGCTTGGAGTCAGATGCATAAGCAAGAAGGTGATTTCAGCCCTTTCCTCCTATCAATTTACCATAGTCCTTTTCCTTCCGACACCATGAAGAAGCTGAGATGCTAAGGATGGTGGGTACCTTTGATGTTAGTTGCTGTCAAGGTTTGAAATGCAAGTGTCCTGTTGACCCACAACGTGTTCTCCTGATGGTAGGTAGTAAATACAAGACAAAGCAAAACAACCAACTACCTGATCCTTTTTTGAATAGCGAGATCTTTCTTCTCATCATCTGTAGTTTCTGGACAGAACACATATTTATAGAGACGAGTCATGATGTACTTTTCGATCTGATCCATTATCTTCTCAACTCTTTCTGAAGGCACTGAAATATCCAAATGGACATAAAAGCTAAGCTCTCAAGAGAAGGATGGACAGTTTAGGAGTATGTCTTCATAGCTTTTCCTATGTAGCAGAAAACTAATTTACTAGTAATGCATTAAATATACCCAGAAATAAAAGTATAAGATGTTACATAAAAAAATACCCTTTAAAAATTTACCTCAACTTTTGGGACTGCCTTTCACAGAATCACCACTTCTAACTGAAACTGTTTGGGCAGGACCTAACAGCTGTACGCCCTGCCAAGTGGGAACACCGCAGCGTGGGTCACTCCGCACTGCTACATTAGAGAAGCACCTGAAACTCTCAAGACTGAGAATGATGGCAATCGCTCTTTCATTTTTCTGAGGTTTACTATACAACTTTGGGGAACTCTTAAGAGACGCACAGGTGGGGCTTATTTCTCAGATAGACATCTATGCTAAGTATATCCTAAAACCCAACATCAATGGAAGTCAAATTCCAGACAATTCTCTAAAAACCTACAGCTCTAGGGACGTCTGGGTGGCTCAGTCGTTAAGTGTCTGCCTTTGGCTCAGGTCATGGTCCCAGGGTCCTGGGATCGAGCCCCGAATCAGGCTCCCTGCTTAGCGGGAAGCCTGCTTCTCCCTCCCCCACCCCCCCTGCTTATGTTCCCTCTCTCGCTGTGTCCCTCTCTCTGTCAAACAAACAAACAAACAAATAAATAAATAGAAACAGCTCTAAGTCTGATTCTCATTCCGCCCCACCCAATCCGAGGAATACATAATCATGAAAAATGACTCACCAAAATGGTGATTCCAAGATGGACATTTCATTTAGAAGCATCCTAAGGGGTTTTAATGGATTCTGCCCCTACCCCAATGGGATTATTAAACAATGTTCAATAAATTACCCAACTGCTGTGATCACCTTGGAGTGATGCACACGGTGGTATTCAAAGGCCCTCTAAGGATAAGACCAGCTACCAGAATGTCAGCGGAGTTGTTTATAGGACAGAGTTGGCAAACCAGCCAGGCCATCAGAGAAACAGAGAAAGTTCTAACAGACACAGCAGTCAGACTCTGTACAATTACCAGCAATCCTTTTATGGCTGGCTAACAAAGCATTACCTTTTCCACGAGTCTGCATTCTTTCAGCCACATTCTGGTAAAAATCCTGAGTACACTCTGACTGTTCCTCAATGCTTAAATCCTGAAACAAAGGGACAAAGAGGCTACTTGGTAGCTGAAGAAAGATCATGCATAAAGCTCTAAATTTTACAAAGTTTCCAAAACCCACTCTTTGGTGCTAATCTCAAAAAGTACCTACCAATTATATGAACTCTGCAGAGGAGAAAAAACTATCCTTTAAAGTTATTTACAACTCCCATGACCTCTTACTTCTCTGTGTGTGTGTGTGTGTGTGTATTCTTACGTGGGTATAATGCATATTTTGACAATTTACATGTTTATGTACATTTCTATTTATCTGATCTACTTTGTCATTTCTCGTGGCTTTCTCACATTCCATTATATTAAACGATTTACTTAACCAGTCTACCACTGTGCATTTGGGTTCCTTCTCTTTTTGTCACTATTATGTACTGCAGCTATAAATAATTGTGTGGACTATTTCTCTTGGGTTATTTCTTTGTGATACATTTTCAAGAGTGACACTGACAGTTTAGTAAATATGAACAACTTTATAGCTCTAAGTATCTACTGCTAGATACAATCCTCAGAAACTCCAATGTCCAGCCATTAGCCATATATGTGTGTTTATTTCTCCATGGCCCCTACAACACTGGGCTTTATAATTTTCCTTTAGGTTTACTGATTATTTAGGTATAATATGTATATTTACACCTTATTTTCTTCTAAAGAATAAAGTCTACATAAAATATAAACACAGTTCAGCACAATTAACCAGATGAAAAACAAAACATGGAGAGAAACACAAAATGGAGCTAGGAACAGAAAAATGTAGTCCTTGAAGATACAGAAATTAGTGGAGTCAACCCGTACCTTTGTCTCTAACTAAACTTTCTAGCAATCATCACTAAGACAAAAATAATCACATAACTGGGTGTCCAAAATGTAAAGGTAAACTAACTCTTCAGATGAAATTCTAACACCAAACCCAGAAATTTCTCCCAAGGGTTCTCATAAAGAAGTCACTGCAGAAGAGCATGAATATGGCCTGGGACAAATTCCATAGAACTGTTTTTCAGACTGCCTTCACACAGGCCAATGAGAGCATAGAGCAAAGGCCCATAAGGCCCTGGGAAGAGCATGCAGACCCTGCCACTCCGGCTTAAATCCCAAAGTATGCCTTGGGGTCCAGACCGTGCCCTTCTGCCTTTTGCAATGTCTCTCCCAGCCATCCTCCCCTGGTTTGGGCCCTCGTCACCTCTCACCTTGAGTATAGCTGCTCTCCCCAACTGTGATCTCACTTTTCAATCTATCCTACACACCACAGTCCAACTGATCATCTCAGATTCAGATCTGGGCACAAAATCAGATTATCATCTGAGCGCCACACTTCCAATGGCTGTCCATCAGATGGATGCTGAAGCCTGCATTTAGCACCACCCTCCATCCTCCTTCCTGCTTACCCTGCCAGGTTACCATTTGTTCTGAGGGTCTGCTTTTAGTTGCCCCACCTCTCTAACACTATAAAGTTATTCTCTGTCTGCATTACTTTTATTGCTGTCCAGTCTTCCAACAGCTGTCCAAAGAAGGCTCTGTTCACACCTTACCTCTTCTAAGAAGTTGTCCTTCATTCCCTTAGTCAAAGTAACTTTATGGGTCTCACAGGGCTTACAGAGCTCTCTGACAACCCTGACAGCTGCTCTTGGTGCTTCCTTCACTATTTATGTAAGAGCCATTTGGCTGAATTAAAATCGATCTCTTGTCTAGTAAGAACTCGGTACTAAGTAAATTTTATACATTTTGAAATGTTAAGCTTTTATTTATATTCACCACAATTTCCCAGTGCTGCTTTCCATTTTATCTTTTATTTTTCATTATGCAGCTTTTAAAAAAGTTAATACCACTACACCTTTTACCTGGTCCTTAAGAATAATTCTTAAACAGTTCAATTGCACCTTGAAAATTGTTCTAAATTTCTCTACAGAAATAAGTATCTCTACAGTTGAAATATTCTAATCTACTTCACTAATTTACTTCTAAGTTTTTTCATGTTTAACTCTTTATTTGGCGGGAGTGTAAGGTGCACAGTATAGAATACAGACCGGAAGTAATCTATATACAAACTTCCCTGTCTTTTTCAGAAGCAGGTGGTAAAAGGCAACACTGTCCCTCTCATTTCCCCAGTTGTCACATAACTGGCTCCTGAGAAACTGAATTTATTTCTGGAATCCCTGGTTTATTTCACTGTCCTATATTTTATTTTTTTAATTAAAATCTCACCTAGTTGTGATATCTTTCATTTTAGGATATATTTTGAAGTTGGTCAGATTTAGAAATCTCTCCTACCGAATTCCTGCTCCCCGCCCCACCTCACAAAAAGATTATACAGTATATATATATATATATTAGAATATATATATAAATATATTAGAATAAATATAACATTGTAATTTATATTTTTCTTAGTTAGATCCAAAATACAATCCTCTCTTAATTCTTTGAATGAATTTTCCTAATTAAAGTGTTACTAATATTTAATGCCATTCATTGTTATTATCTTTAAAAATTAATATATTTTTTTAAAGATTTTATTTATTTGAGAGAGAGAATGAGATAGAGACAGAGAGAGCATGAGAGGGGGGAGCGTCAGAGGGAGAAGCAGACTCCCCGCCGAGCGGGGAGCCCAATGCAGGACTCAATCCCGGGACTCCAGGATCATGACCTGAGCTGAAGGCAGTCGCTTAACCAACTGAGCCACTCAGGCGCCCTAAAAATTAATATTTTTTAATACTGTGTTAGGCTCTTTAGCTTTTTATCACAGGCATGTCATATTGTAACTGTATTTCATGAATTTATCTTGTCATGTTACTAATTTTACACCCCTGTTAGTACACTTGGATTTTCCTGATGAGATCACTTTTCCTGAATTTCATGAAAATTATATTTCTATCCACTCTAAAAGCACTTGCTGCATGATTAGAATTGCCGGCCACTGTACCAGCAAGTATACAAAAATTAATAAAATGCTCAGAGACCATTCAACTTTAATGGGAAGACTGAATGCAAATAATTATAATATTCTATGAAAATTATAAACCAGAAGGACAAAGTGCCATGGGGCATATGGCAAATCTTTTACTTATCCTTCTTACTCCATCTATCTTCAACAATCTTCTCTAAACAGGTATGGGTAGCAGCAGTAAGTATTCTTGTTTCATACTAATGTCCATGTGAGTTAGTAGTGATCTTTCTAGTAATGCTCACGAGAAAGGATGTCTCTTTCGTGCTCTGTGGTGTGAACTCCAGCAGATCCACGGCTACTCTGAGAGAAGTCCTAATCCTACCCACCCATTCCTGCTGGGGCCTCTATGTGGAGGCAGGATGGGACTCTATCTAAGCACACTCAGTTTGTCCAATACATGGCATCCTTTCTGTACTACTTCCCAATGAGATTTCAAGCTTTTGTTTCCTATCTAGCCCTCATCTATGAATCAATCAGTAAATTTGTATTGTAAATTCTCTAAGCTTCATCCCTGCACTAAATTAGATCACCAGACAAATACATCCATGGACTAAACAATTTTAAGTCTCCTGGGAGTATTTCTTCAGAGAACTAGTTTTAATACTATGCCTGGACTTTCATGTGGGTAATCATAAGCAGCAGCTACTTGAAGAACATGTCCATAAGAACATGTTTATAAATTCTAAATACCATCAAATTATCCTCTTCTTCTCTTATTCTTACTTTAAATCATTTTGTAAATCTTTTCACATCCTTTCAGTAAGCAGAGTGGGTTTATTTTATTTATTTATTTATTTTTCAAAGACTTTATTTATCTGAGACAGAGAGAATGAGAGAGACAGAGAGCACATGAGAGGGGGGAGGGTCAGAGGGAGAAGCAGACTCCCCGCCAAGCAGGGAGCCCAATGCGGGACTCGATCCAGGGACTCCAGGATCATGACCTGAGCCGAAGGCAGTCGCTTAACCAACTGAGCCACCCAGGCGCCCCAGAGTGGGTTTAAATAAATAAAAGGACTATCATTATGGAGTTTGTGAGATGAGACTTTTTTACTATTAAGACTGTAAATCTAATTTTATTTTTATGATATGGGGGATTCACTTAGCATTTTAACAGTAATATTTTTATTTTCCTTTATGATGCTATAATTTTACTTGTTATTCTTTCTGTTTATGTACCTTCCACAATAGATTATCTATTCTTTTCATCCACTTAGGTACCTTAGACATGGCTACCTTTCATTTGCACCAAATCTCAACACTTAGAACAAACTACCTTAATTCTTCTGATTATTACTAGTACTCACTTCTAACTAAAAACTGTGACCTGTTTTACCTGTGGCAATGAATCACCTATTCCTCCCCTTGCTCCACACAATCACTGCAATTCTGTTACTATTCAGAAAATATCTTTTTATATTTCTATTTATATTGCACAGACTTACACTTCATTACGGTGTTTATTTTACAATTTAAAAGGACTCCCCTGCCACTCTGTCCTCTTATCCTGTTTTAGAGTCTTTGTAGGACTTACCACTAGGCTATATTACAAACCTGTTTATTATCTATTTTCTCCACTAAAATGTGAGGTCCACAAGGGCACTGCTGACCACCATATCCTCAGTGCCCACAACAGGGCCAGGCATAGGGCTAGCGCTCAATTAGTTGAATGAAAGAAGAAATGAATGTGACCATCTATCATCGCCCCTCCCTTTATAATACTGTAAGAACACTGGGACACAATTCTACATAGATCTCTTCTACATATCTTGTGAGGAGAGCCACGGACTGCCTTTGTTCTACACTATCTTTTCAAGGATAGCTGTACAGAAGACAGAGATAGTGCCTCCCTCAAGTAAAAGGGCAGATTGTCTACTGTCCAGTATAATAATGTTTCCATGTGAGGCGGAGGTCAGGCGAGCTTACTGCCCATTATAAAAGATCCTCTCATCTAACGTTGCTCACTGCACCCACAGGCATTATCTGGTCTTTGCATGTCCCATGGGAACTGATACTCAGGGAATTGGTGCAAATGCTGATAT